TGAGAGAGAAGAGTTGGTAGAAGGGTGGATTGATGAAGGACTAATTGATGTGTTGCCTAATAGAAAAGCAGCTTATGAGAGAGGCCAAGCCTTTTTAAATAGGCTAGTAAAGAATTGTTTGTTAGAGAAAACTGTTGATTGGCGTGGTGATGTTTTCAAGATGCATGATGTACTGAGAGACATGGCTATCAAAAGCATCGGTCCTGAATTTGGATATATGGTAAAAGCTGGTATGAAATTGACAGAGGTGCCAGATGAGCGTGGGTGGGGAAATGATCTTAAGAAGGTGTCTCTAGCAGGGAATAACATATCAAAAATTCCCCTTGGGTTGTGCCCAAAGTGTCCAACTCTTTCAACTTTGATATTGTCAAATAATCGTTATTTGTCCGAGATCCCAGAATCCTTCTTTGAAGGTATGCCTGAACTGAAGGTTCTTGATCTTTCTGGAACTGGTATTGAAGCTTTACCTAATTCCATCTCAAACTTGGAGAAGCTCTCTTCCATGAGGTTATGGCGGTGTTGCAGTTTAATGTATTTGCCTTCTTTAGCAAAGCTTACAGCGTTAAAGAAGTTGGATTTGAATAATTCCCGGATTGAGGTGGTCCCTCAAGGCATGGAGAAATTGATTAGTCTGGAATATCTTGATTTAAGGTATTGTTACAATCTAAAAGAGATTCCAATGGGAATGTTATCAAACCTTTCCAATCTCCAGTACTTGTTTTTTGAAATGTTGAAGATAGAAGTAGAAGAGGTTGCGAGAATGAGCAAGTTGGAGACCTTTGAAGGTATATTCAATGACATACAAAGCTACAATTTTTTTGTCAAGTCTCAAGATTTCCAAATTCTTACTGATTACCATATTGAAGTAGTAGAAAGACTCACAGAATCGTCGACTACTCCAGGGGAATCTGTGGTTAGTATCAATTGTTGTGACTTCGGAGAAGAATGTATGGTGCTTCCAGATAACCTTCAGAGGCTGGAGATAGTGCAGTGTAGTAACATGAGAAGCGGCTTAAATAAAGCAGCTTTGTTAGAAAAGGCAACCGAGTTGAGATCCTGTTATATTAGGGGTTGTAAAGATATGGAGTGCGTCGTTGACTTGGACTCATCCTCCTATCTAGTTCTGGATAAGCTTGAAAGGCTGTATCTTATCAAATTGCCTAAGTTGAGTGCACTTGTGAGGGTGGAAGGAGTAGCAACACCACCGCACGTCTTTTCCAATCTTAAAATGCTTCATATTTGGGATTGTTCAGGAATGAGGACGTTGCTTCCACTTGAGCTGCTGCAGGCCTTCCAAAACTTAGAGGAGATTTATGTTATTGAGTGCGAACAAATGGAGGAGATAATAGCATCATCAGATTCAGATGCATCATCGGATAAATTCACTTTTCCCAAGTTAAGGAGATTGTCCTTGAGGAATTTACCCGAATTGAAGAGCATCTGCAGTGCCAAAGGAGTTATGGTTTGTGATTCTATTGAACAAATTAGAATAATCAAATGTCGGGAGTTAAAGAGGATCCCAGTGCAGCTTCCCCTGCTTGATAATGGCCAACCATCTCCTCCTCCTCATCTCAAAGAAATCAATGTAAAAAAAGAATGGTGGGAATCAGTGGAGTGGGATCATAAGAACCTACTTCAACCTTTCTTGGAATATTCTTGGTGGTGATAATTGAGGGGTAAGGTGTTGATTGATTAAGTATTCAATTTCTAATTTTAAGAATGTTGATTTTATTTATTTATTTATTTATTTTATCTGTTTTCCAATTCCTCTTCTATCATTTGCAATCTAGATGGAAGGAAACAATTTCTGTTGAATTGAAGGGATC